ACCCTATTAAAATTATGAAGGCCCCTGCATTATGGGCTTTGCTCTTTCAAGCAGGCTTCTGGTCTCAAGGGTTTTGGTTTATGATTTAGGGCTTAGGTTTCGGAGAGAGTTGTTGGCGTGTTAGGACGTAGGAGTTGTGGAATTCCGGTCGTAGAGACTCGGGAGCCAGCACTGCTTTGTTTTGGGTTTAAGCACGTTTTCCAACCATGAACCCAGCAACAGAAGACCAACCCCAAGATTCCAAGCAGCAACTCAAACATGTAATGTAGAAGCCTTAATCATTAGAATCGGGTTTGGGGGTCTTTTATACTACAACTCTAATGAGGAATCCCTAACATAGTATTGGTAATTATTTAGGCTCCTGTATTATCCTGAGCCCTAAGCCCCAAACCCCATCGCTGCCCATCGCTGAACCCGAAAGCTTGGCCGGCTCCTCCGGAATGCACCTCAGCGTGAGGAGCGTCGACACGTTCAGCGGCTGATCCGGGAAGAGGCCGAGATCGTTGAGCTCCAGCCTTGTTTGAACTTCGGCTTGGGTTCTGGGATTAGGGACCCTAAACCCTAAACCCTAAACCCCTTAGGGATTTCGGGCTTTAGGATTTGGGATGCTTAGGGGCTAGGGATTTAGACTTTGAAGAGTTTAGGGCCGAGCCTCTTAACCTGAGGATGAACTTGGGTTTGCAGGGCCTTGCGGCCCATGTAGGACGGTTTCATGGAGTTGGGTCTGTGGAGCTTCGGAAAACTCCATCAGGTTTAGTAGGAGGCTACAGAAGTTCCTTGCTTTCTATGACTCAGTACATAGGTGAGGAAGATTAGGAATGATTTGGGGTTGGTCCGATGCTACTCGGTACAGTGGTGGCGTTCAGGGATCGGGAGCGTCCAGGCTTGTTTTGATGTTCATGATTTCTTGCTTGGGAAGCCTCCCGTGTAGTTGATTCGGAGAGTGGCTGTTCGCCTGCTTTCGCGAGAACCAACGCTCGAGCTCCTGGCACGGCCGACTCCACGGCTGTGACGTCGGTTGGCACCAGATCCCTTCTGTGGCGCTCGCCTTCCCAGGCTTTTCGAGTTAGGATTTAGGGTTTAGGGTTTACGGCAGGGGGGTCTTGACCTCAGTCGAAAACTACGTTTCATAGATTTACTTATTTCTAGCGCATCTCTTGGGCCTTTGCTTGCGGCTTGAAGACTAGTGGTTGGCTGGAGAGGTAGAGTTTAGGGACCGCTGCACTTTCAGAACATCTCCGAGTTGTTGAGCTGTGAGATATGACTGCGGGGGTGGGGGGGCGGTTTCCACTCCTATTTCAGATTCCTCCGCGAATGGAGGTGGCAGGAGGCGGCTCCATCAACATGCAACTCTTCGTCTTCTTGCAAACTAGGAGAGACCGGTGCAAGCGGCGTGAACATGTTGTGGATGATGACAAGAGAAGTGAACAGAAGTGACGACAAAGAACAATTAGCAGAGGCAAGCACAACAACAACAGCAGTAACGGCAGCAATGCAGCAAGGAGCAGCAGCAACAGCAACAGCAACAGCACCAGCACCAGCGTCAGCACCACCACCCACTCATATTCATGCTTTCTAAGTCGGCTAGTCATGGTATCACGATTATTAGCACAGTCAGCGCACTGGTTCTCATAGCTCCAGGCCTTTACCGCCACCGTGCCCTTGCGGCGCGAAGACGCTTCCCATTCCCGCCTCAAGATCTCAACATCCGAAGAGTTGCAGGGCTTAGGGCTCCTAGGGCAGTTGAGGCTGCAGGACTTAGGATTTTAGGAGGTCCAGGTGTAAGACCATACATGAGTTTAGCAGAAGGAAGGGGTGGGACCTTCAGATTCACAGTTGGTCAGAACTCATAGCGCAATCGGAAAACTGCGAGGTCGGTGCCGAACACCTTCGTACAGGGAGTGTTCTGGGTGGCCTTCCTTTTGCAAGAGGTGAGACACATAAGTATTAAAGTGCCACAGGGACCACAATCTCTAACAACCCCACTGCTGACCGTGGTGTCTGCATTCGCCACATCTGTTTGACTCATGTGCCCTTTAATCAGGCAAGAAGGATGATGTTTGCATGAAAATGCAAGTAGAAGTTTAAATCGGTTGTTGCTGATCCCACGCAAGATGTGTTTGCCGAGTCTTCATTACAATCTACAACAACCGAACAGTACGATCGCTGGGCTGTGCCATGCAAGTCCCTCTGAGTTCCCGGGCACCGTAGGCACCAAACGACCCACCACCAAACCCGCCGTCGCCGCCTTTGCCTTTGCCCTTCACCTTGGTGAAGGTCCAAAAAGCAAGGCATCAACATTTCCACACAGCCTTATGGGTGGCTTGCTTCAGGCCTTGACTTCTTTTAAGAAGGCTTTCAGCATCTAAGCCTGCTGCAGGAACACGGAAGCATGAGTCGGAGGAACGACTGTGGATAGACGAAGAAAAGCGGAAGCCAAACAAAGCTGACGACCACAGCACCAACCACTACTGCAAGAGTAGAAGCGGAACAGGGCAGAAGTAGCAGTAGTAGTGGTGGTAGCGGTCGGAGAAGTAGCAATAGCAGCAGCAGCAGCAGCAGCAGCAGCAGCAGCAGCAGCAGCAGCAGGAGTAGTAGTAGTAGTTGTAGTAGTAGTAGTAGTAGTAGTAGTAGTAGTAGTAGTAATAGTAGTAGTAGTAGTAGTAGTAGTAGTGGTGGTAGTAGTAGTAGTAGTAGTAGGTGTGGCAGTAGTAGTAGTAGTAGTAGTAGTAGCAGTAGTAGTTGTTGTTGTTGTTGTTGTTGTTGTTGTTGTTGTTGTGGCAGTAGTAGTAGTAGTAGTAGTAGTAGTAGTAGTAGTAGTAGTAGTGGCAGTAGTAGTAGTAGCAGTAGCAGCTCTGCCCCTCCTGCGCTCGCCGCGCAGCGGAGTCTTGGCCTAGCGAGGTGATCGACCTGAGCACACTGCGCTCTCGTTGGAAGGCCAAGAATCCCAGACCACCGGAAGGATCTAAAAAATAGATTGTAGGGTTTAGGGTTTAGGGTTTAGGGAGGATCCAAAAAATAGATCCCCTAAAAAGTTCCTATAAAGTACCCTTTAGTAGTTGGGGTTCCAAATTAGGGGATCTACTTTTTAGATCCTCCCGGGGGTTCTGGGATTTTCATCCCCTCAAATCTCCGATGGGAAGTTGTCGGTTCT